TAATGTTGTTTTCATTTACAATGTCATAGTCATTGTAGATATTCTAATTCTTCTTTCTTTACTCAGCAAGGGTTCACGTAAGTCTTTTTCTCAGAATCCTTCACATTCATCATTTCTTATGGCAAAATAATAACATATTACAGTAATGTGTTGTCATTCCCCAGTTTATGGGGACCCACTTTCTTCCAGTCTTTTGCTACCACAAAAAAGTACAGCTATTACTACTTTTCTATCTATGAGACCTTTCTTTCTGTAATTCACTGCCTTTCGGTATGACAAATTGTAGCAACGAAACCTTAAGAAAGCTTTCTACAAGAATCAATTGCTAGGACTGTAGAATTATACCAGTTAACCAAGAACTGTAATGCAACAATTGCAATAAACAGAACACACAGTCCTATATCAAAATGTTCATGAGATTATAAACACTCTAACAAACACATCACACACTATAAACAGTTTGGAAAATTGTAAGCAGATAACACAGCAAGAAGTCGAAACAAACATTCTTACTTCTGGTCAGCCATGACCATTTTTTTTATAAAAGGTAAAAAATAAAATAGCAGTACATTAAAGTAAGAATATACATTGAACAATGACTTGAAGATAGAGGTGAAGGTTTAATTTATACCTTTATGAAGGGGAAAAATCATTAAGCACTTAAGTTGAGGCAGAAAAAAAAAAAACAACCCTGAGTATTACAATAAGAATATAGAAATCCATCTATTGGAATTAAGAATTAAGTTCTCAGAAGTAAGTATTTTCTATAAGGTACAGAAAGGTATCAAAAATAATAGTAAATATGGTTGTATCTCACTTAACTTGCACCTTCTGGGTTTCGTGTAAACATGATAAAGGCAAAGAGCAACAAAAGAGAGGACAAAGCAGAAATTGTTAGAAATCCCCCCAAAAAATGGGTGGCCCCAATCCCTAGAACAAAGCAGAAATACATGTTGAAGAAGAAATGTGAGGGGAGAAGACTAGATGACTCTAGCTCACCATTGTTGGGAAGGAATAAGAGGGTATAAGTGTAAGAGAGAATTAGGAATGATGAGATTATCCTTGGGGACTATCCCCACAGAAGTGGGTACAGGAGTTCAGCAATCATCCAGAAGACGGAAAAGGATCACTGATGGGAAGTTTGGAGTGAAGACCACTTTCCATAGTACTTACTTCCTGCTGGGTCCCCCAATGGGATTAGGACACAAGAGGTGGTATAGCAAGGGTGGGAATATTGAGGGCAGGGAGGAAGGATTCCCATTTTCTCTGCCAGATGTGGTAGCATCTACCAGACGCTCTGATTCAAATTCCTTTTCCTTTCAACATGTTCAGGTATCTTCCTATACATTTAAAAAGTCTTCACTTGCATCATACTATTAGGATTTGTGAGAAATTATTTCTCTCTGGTATTTTCCCTTTTCTATTTTTTCATCCAAAAATCAATCAGTGTGTGAAATCTTTCTAAAAGACATACCCAGCCAGGAGGGGTGAAATCTAATCAAAGACAGTAAAAGAAATTCTACCTGTAGGCTAATGGGTGCATTCCTGTTCATTGTGTTTACTCAGATAGGTCTAGGAAAATATGGATCCTCCTTTCTGCCAGACAGATAATATGGAAATTGATGAGGCTCTTTTACCAAAATATGGATGATCCAAGTCATGTACCCCAAACACCTTCAATTTAAGATAGTACACCTCCCATTATAATATTCATTCTCTCTTATTACTTATTGACTAATCAGAGTTGATTTTCACCTTCAGGTGCACCCCTTTTTCAAAAGTCTTAACAAATATCAAAGGTTCAACAGGTGTGCTCTCTTTGGCTACCGAGGGAACAATGAGCCTGTTTTTGTTGACCATTTTTTAAACGTAGTCAATAAAAATTATTTTAATTTACCCAGAAACTCAGTCTCCCAGAACTTTTTTAAAACATCACAGACTGAGGTCAAAATATGCCAAGAAAAGGAATGAATCTATTCAAAAACCTTCAAAGCTATTTCATTTGAAATGGCAAAAAAAAAACCCTGTGAACTACCAAAGTATACAAATAATTAGGAAGTAGCTGAATAAATTTTGCTAAATTAATGAAATTGATAGAGGACTACAATATAAAAGAAAAAAGAAAAGTGTAAATCCAAAGAAGTATGTAAAGGTTCAAAAAAGAACTTCATAAATGACAACATGAGAAGGTATGGAGACACAGCATTTATGAAGGTTTGAGATAATTCCAAGTTCAATAGGAATCAACACTGAAAGCCACAAGACGCTAGAGCAATTACAGGATACATTAATGGAAATTTAGGATACAGAACATGGGGAAGTCATAATTTCTCCATACTGTGTCCTGCTCATAACATGTTTTGCATACTTTTTTTCAATTTTGGTGCTACAAATGAAAAAGTAAATGATCAACTGGAGAGTATTTAGAGAGAGACCAGGAAGTCACCAGAAGGGGTGTACTGGTCATGCTGCATGATGATTCAGTGAAGGAACTGGGGGAGTGTGGTCTGAAGAAAAGAAAACTTACAGGTGACATGATAGCAGTCATCAAGTATCTGAAGGACCATCAAGGAAGAAAAACTAGACTTGTTCTTCTTGATCCTAGAGGGCAAAACTGGGAGCAATGGGCAGGAGAATACAAAAAGGCAAACAGCTGAGATAAAAGCAAATAATTCCAATTATGAAAGCTGTCCAAAAGTGAAATGGCCTTTCTCAGGAAAGAGTAAAATAATCTGCACTTGAAATCTTTAAGAAAAGATTGGATGACTACCTGTCAAGTATTACGACATTATTCTGTTCAGGTAGAAGCTTAGATGGCCTCTGAGGATGCCTGCTAATCTGACATTCTGTAAGTTTATAATTTATACAAAAGAATCCAAAGTTAAAAAAGTGGGATTAAAAGAACAATATGAATATTGATGAAGAAACACTACCAAAAAAACTATCAAAATTATTAAAGTAGGCAGAAGAGAGATCTAAAGGAGAACAAAAAGGGTCACTGTTAAAATGTAGGTGTCCTTTTAAGAAATTTTAAGAAGGTTTCTGTTTAAGGCCTTATTTGCATTTTTGTTCCTTAGTTGTTAAATTAATTGGTAATATTTGCTGAGAAATAATATGTTCACAATAAATAAATGAAACAATTCTCAAAAAGAAGCATAAACTATAAACAACCTTAATAATAAGAGAAATTTGCAAATCAAAATAACCCTGAGGTTTCACCCCCTACCAAGAAAACTGGTGAAGATCATAAAAGGATGGGAATGGAAAATGTTGGAAAGGTTGTAAATAAACAAGCAAACTAATCCATTGTTGGTGGAGCTGTAAATTAATACTCCAAAAAAAGCAATTTGGAATTCTGCAATTAAGGTACCTAAAATGTCCCTACCCTTGGATCCACAGGTTCCACTGCTAGGCATATATATACCTGGGACCCTCATGACAAAGAGAAAGGCTCCACATAAATCAAAACATTTAAAACAGGACTTTTTGCAGAGGAAAAAAACTAGTAATAAAGTAGATGCCTATAAGTTTGTGAATGCATAAATAAACTGTGGCACATGAATGTAATGAGATATTATTATACTATAAGAAATATGATCAATACAAATAAGCATAGAAAGATTTACATGAAAAGACAGAAAAAACAATTAATGAGAGCTAAGAAACAATATAGACCATGACTATAACAACGTAAATAGAAAGAACCATTATCAGAATACAACTAAAAATGAATGCTTTGAAATTACAAAAAACAAGGTTGATTCTAAGGGAGACACCTCTCCCTAAACTTTTGGCAAGGTGGAAAGCTGAACACTGTCATTCAACATCGCATATAATGTCATATTATGTCAATTTACTGGTTTTGTTGATTTTTTTCCTCTTCTTCCTCTTTATCATTTTTTTTGTTAATTCTTTGTTATAAGGACTGGTTGATGAAGAAAAATAGGGACACAGAGGAAATTTTAGGCATGTAAAAACAAAAGAGAGAAATAAATATTTCCTTCTAAAAATCTTAGCCATAGGACCAAGCACACACAACAAATACTTACTGACAACTACACAGTAATTCTGGGTACTTAGAGACAATAGTCTGGCGGCCTAGGAAATCACCAAGGCCTAGTAAGCCCTTTGAAACATAAAGCAACTGCAAATATTTTTTGGAAGAAGTGCAATGGCTAGGTTAACATGTTACACCACTGGTTCATCCATTCTCTACTCTTCTCCCTCCCCTTCCAAACCCCAAATGATTTTATATATAATGTCACCAATTTTTGTAAATGCTCCTCCCAAATTAAAGAAACATGACGGGGAAGAAATGAGAATATCTGGGAATTTTTTGTTTTCACTGTTATACAATGTTATGAATCTACATCACAGTTAGCCTGTAAGTAGAGTCAATATTAGCATACCTACTCTACAGTTAAATGACTAAATTAGCACTGCTGGAGCCAATACAACATAAAAATTCAGAGCCATAAAGCCACTGCACTTGCTCAGTAAAATCAGGGAAAAGACTTCATTTACTTCAAATTACAGAAAATTTGTGGCGGCAAAAGAAATAAATAGGTGCCATTGATCAAGGGAAAAAAAAGAGTTAAACAGGAAGAGATACAAAAAACACTTCGCCCTGACTCATGAGAAAAAATGGAAAGTCCATGGGTATGGGACCTTGCATGCAATGTCAGAAGTTTTGATATATTTATTGATTTTATGGAATGTTTTTCCTCTTTTTTTTTAAGTATTTGTCATAAGGGATGTCTTTCTAAGAGGTGCCAAAAGTAGCAACAGTGGTGGAAATTGAAGACGTACAAACAAGATACTGCATTAAAAATGCATTTGTTCTATGCTTCCATGAACAAAAAATTCGATAGGCATGTTACAACATAATCTTACGGTTTAAAAAAATAGAGTTTAGGAAATCAATGATTTTCTGGAGTTTTAGCAACGAGTCACTCTTAAGAGTGGCTGAAAAAACATTTTTAAAAAAGATTTTTCCTTACCCAGAAGATCCAATGCTCTTACAAACACCAAGCAGAGGCCTCTTCTCAGCAAAGTTGTCACACTTCTGTGAATCTGTTAGAAAGCATAAAAAAGGCTAAAGTTAGAAAAGTATTCTTGTATATTTTCCCTTTTTTAAAATCATCTCTAAAGGTTTCCAGCTGCATATGATGGTTAAGACACATTAATTATGAATTTGTGTTTTTGGTGTGAAATCAAGAAAGACCAAATCTTCTCCAAAGAAAGTAAACAATATCCCCTCCCATCTGACCTTTCAAGTTTAGTAGCTATTCACTAGTTAGCTATCTTTATATGATCTAATGAACAAAAATTTCTTAAGATACTAAAATATGAGCTGTTTCAATAGGTGGCTAGACATAAAATTTAAATACTTTCACAATATACTACACATTGTACTCATCAGAATTTTCTTCTTCACCAAGAAAGGACTTTAAATGAAGGAGGCTCTGAACCATTCTTTTTCATGAAAATGATACTCACCTTTGTGATCATCATAATCACTGTAACAACAATTATTGTTCTCACCAATCAATAAATCAATAAGCCAATCAATATTTATTAAGCAAGTGTTATGTCCCAGGTACTGTACTAAGCACTGAGGATACAAAGAAAGGAAAAAGGCAGTCCCTCCTCTGAAGGAATTCACACTCTAATTGGAGAGACAACATCCAAACAACTATGTAAAAAACTATGTAAAAGCTATATACTGGATAATTTGTAAATAATCAACAAAGAGAAGGCATAACTTTTATGTAAATTGTGCTATGTATAATTATTAGCAGAAATAATTCTTCTTAGAAGTTAATACTGCCTGTGATATCAAAAGCAATACAAAAATCAAATAAGCTCCTAGAGGCCCTTTCCATTTCTATAAAATACATGGCTTTCATCTACATCAGGGAGGCTGATGAAGGCATAAACAAGTAGAGAATAGTGCCTAGGTATAATATCAGCACCAAAGTAGGAAGAGTGAAGAGAGCCTGGCATCACCTAAGTCAGAAGGGGGCTTCTCATAGGATCACTAATCCTTTTGGTCTACTTGCTAAAATCTGAAGATCAGCTGATCCAAGGTCCAGACATCTTTCATCTGACTCAGTCACACATATATGCACCATATCTCCTCCAGGGATTCAGTTTTTTGCTTATCTTTCTAGTGACTACGATCCATAATGTTTCCCAGCTCCTTCTTCTCCCTTCATTTCCCCAGATGTCTTAAGTTAAGTCTTATCCCTTCCTTTGTGTGAGTTAAAAATATGTCAAATAAAGGCTAAATAAAGGTAATATTTAGAATCACTGCCTCTTCTGGAGAATCCTATAAAAAGCAGCTGAAATGGACTAGGACATGTTATTTTCTCATTCTCAAATAAAATTCCTGTGTCCCCAGTAGAACAAATGATTTCCCCCATTTAATAGAAAGAAAAATAGGATAAACAACATGCTAAAAGTTGTGGGGAGTTATAGCTGTGACTTTTACCAAGGGCCTCTTGAGTTCTGATCCAAGGTTCTTTTTAATTAACCACACAGTGAAATTACTCATTTGCACTGTTAGGCTCTGAGCTTTTTAAAAATAGAAAGGAGAAAAGGTAAAAATATGATAACAGAACAACAGAATTGGTCTTAAAGGATCCTTAACCATGTGTACTAAATGTAATCAAGTCTACAAGAAAGTCCTTTTCTAGCACCATCCTCAGGGTAAGGACAAGGCTTTTGTCTAGAAGACCACTGAGAAGACTGGCACGCAGGCTGCAATGCTGTATTTGACAGAATCAAAGTATCACAAGATTACAGCTAAATGGCTATCTATACCAGAAGGATTTGAAATGAGGTGCTCTGACTCGGAGCCAGGGATCCTTTGTCCTATGTCATGCTGTCTCCTTATGAGGTAACACAGCTTCCAACTTTCAAAGGAGGAGACAAAGTGGGGGGGGGGGAGCTAGGTGGCAGAGTGGATAAAGCACTGGCCTTAGAGTCAGGAGGACCTGAGTTCAAATCCAGCCTCACCCACATAACACTCACTAGCTGTGTGACTCTGGGCAAGTCACTTAACTCCAATTGCCTCATATAAAAAAAAATCAAAAACAAAAACAAAGAGACAATAACAAAGGTGGGAATTAAGGAAGAAAAATTTTGCATCCAATGAGCACCACAATGTACACCTTACTAGATTATATCATATAATGAAGGACACATAGTTTTTCAAAATGAATGGAGTCTCTGGATCTCCTTGTACGAAGGGTTCTATTGTTGACACAAATCATTAAATTAATACTTCCTGCTGCAAGCAATATAATTGGAAAAAATAAAATCACAAAAATAAAAAAAATCAAAATCAAAAAAAAATTGAATATTGCAAAATTCAAAAAAAAAACATGGTTAAAAAGAAAAGATATGGAAAGACATTCCTCTACCCTATTCCTCTGCAGAGGTAAGAGGTTTAGCAGTGTGATACTATAGATATATATAGATATATATAGATATACATATATACATATATATTCATGCTTTTTTGATGTAGTGATCATTGTTGCTGATTTTTCCTCTTCTTTCTATTTTACAATTTTTGTATTAAAAATATTATACGTTATATAGGATGGAGCACTATGAGGAAGAGACTGGGAAAAATTATGCAAAATGTAAAAAATTCATAAATAAAAACTTATTTAAAAAAAAACAAAACATTTTTATGGGCAGGTAGATGACGTAGTGAATAGAGCACTGACCCTGAAGTCAGGAGGTCCTGAGTTCAAATCCAGCCTCAGACCAAACTATTGACACTAGCTGTGTGACCCTGGGCAAGTCACTTAACCCCAACTGGCTAAAAATAAAAAATAAAATAAATATATAAATAAATACATTAAAAACATTTTTAAAGCTGTTTGAACTAGTGTATAGATTGAGAAGCAGAGTCTATTTTATAAACCAATGGTATTTTTACCTAGGAAAGCATCTGAAATATATTTGTTCAAAACTTAATTTACAATGGATTGTATACTGGTACCCTTTTCAAAACAAATTTATCAGATCCTATCATTAACAATATCAGCTTTAACCCAACTATTAATAATTAACAGATCTAGTACATACACATTATTTAAGTTACATATTAATTGTGACTAAAGTTAATCCATACAAGTTTAACTTCACTCTGACATATTTGGGTAACTGTAGTATTAAGATGGTTCATATCAATAACTTTATGTTCAACAGGAAGTTTATGTATAACTTCAAATTAATAAATGTATTTTCCTTGTCTCTCTCCTGGGTTTTACCAGCTCTCTGTGGTTTCCACCTATACTATACACACTGGTCTGAAATTTCGGTAAATGAAACATTTCTGGTCTGTAAAAATAATAATTGCTAAGTTAGGATTTAGATTCATTTTTAAATATGAACCTCATCTGATAGTGTATAGTGGTCCAGTGAACTTTTCTCTATACAGGAAAACCACATTCACCTTAGTGAACAAACATATACTAACAGCATATCAATCCACAGATAAATGTAGTTTAAATTTTTATATTTTTCAAAGTAAAGACCTTACTTAAACACAACATCAAATAAATTTGAAAACCCATAAAAGCAGGAAAATTAATGAGCAGGGACATGGCATAGATGAATGTGAATAATAAAACCCTTCTAAAATACAAACTACCCATATATGATATGTTTTGAGAAAAATGTATTCAGGGCATGCCTCATACTACTTTATGATTAAGTCAGAAATTGGAAGACATCTTGATCTGCATGAAATAAGTTAATTTTCTGACAATTTGAACTAATACATTAGAAAAATCATTACTATAGTGACATTGAAATCTCATGAACATGGTAGCTATTAACCTGATTTTTCATGCAGTACAAATAGCAACTGTGCTCTCCACAATGCCTAATGGTGTCACTACCTCATGTGTAATTCCGGGGAAAATGTAATCCTCCAAGTTGTGGAGGATTAATTTTTTTATATATAAAATGGTGTGTTTATTCACATATGGGATAGAATGACGTTACACACACCTGCTCTACACAGTGTTTAACTGAATGAAGTATGATGATGAAAATGAAAAACTGCTAGCTAAATCCACCAAATGTAAAAAGTAAAGCAATCCTGTCACAAAGTCCTTTTCTTAAACTCCTTTTATTCTAAATCCTTTTAATTCTGTCCTATAACACTCTAACATTTATAAAAAGCTGAAAATCCTGATAAATCACACAATTAAAGTAATGAAAATGGACCTGCCTACCAATAAGATGCCACCTCCTAGCATTTCACTTAGCTAAATGGTTTTTTTAAAAATTCAAAACCATGTGCAGCGGAGAAAATGATAAATACCACCCTTACCCCACCAACTTGCACTTGCTTAAATGAACTTTCATATTGCCCTGAAACAAATGCAATCTGCCTCAGAAATCAACTTTACCCATTCATATACATCTAACTACTTGTTAAATCTTGAGACACGTTTAACAGCACAGTCCCTTGAGGTCCTTGCACATAATGATTAAAATCTGTGTAATGAAGACAGTTGATGAAATAGAAGATCAAAACTACTCAGAAAAGAAATAGACATATAGATTCTGCTATCTTATAGCTTCTAAATTTGGCCACCACAAACACTATCTATTGGTCTCAAATAAACAAGCTTTCCTTATAATTCTTATTCTTGAAATCCTGCTTTAGGTAGTGGCACTCTAAATTTTAAACATGTTCTCTTGCCCAAGGTGCTATATGTAACCATGATATGTAACTAATTCAGACAGTGTGTGATTCCTTTCTAGAAGATGCATGTATACATACACATACATAGCGGGTGTGATGTCCCACAGACTACAGAGTTCCTATTTCTAGAGAGAAACTCTATCTTTGGAAAGCATAAAAATAACTTTTAGGAATCTCTTCATCACATATAGTTTTAAATGTATTTCAGGTCCATTATCTGCAAGAGCAATTATCCATATTCTAGAAATGACAGACCTTCATTGGACAGAGATCTTAGAGGACATCTAATTCAACCACCCCATTTTTTATTTTTTATTTTTGCAAACAAGGGAAAAGA